TGCACTATCACAGTACTGAAAGCTTAATTAATCCAGTCACTCCTTGTGTTTTATTTTCATGCCTTAAAAGATCTGTTTTCTCCTACGTGTTCTTAATACCTTTTATTCTAACGCACAAGGAGACTTGAAACTTTTGATCACAGACTCCTCTAAAGAAAACCAAGACGGAAAAGAGACAATTAAATTAAAAAGACACAACACATTGTCATTATAACCCTTAAGATATCTACACATTTAATATAAAGGTACCTGATTTGAAAGTAATCTACAGTATTGCAAACGACACACGAACTACAGGAGCTGAAGGTCTCCATTACACACACACACACACACACACACACACACACACACACACACACACACACACACACACACACACACACACACACACACACACGCACACACTCACAAAAGAAAAAAATCCACACTTACCCCTTACATACTTGTATTTAGATGATAATAACAATCACAATGGACAATTATTTACCTAAACTTCGAATACCTTTCATATAACCAAGTCATATTTCCTTGATAATGTATCTGCAATCTCAAAATTTAATACGCACACATAACAAAATATAACAATAACGATAAAACAAAAACGAAGCACCGTTGCATGACACCCATTCAGTACAGGTCACAGGCGCCGGGAAGGTCGTCTTTGAGCCAAAACGTCATGCAATCCTCACCCCCCCCCTTGCCCTTTGCACAGAGCGAGCTGCACTTCTGAGGTCCAGCAAGATCCTTCCCTTCTTCACCACCGACCCGTACCTTAAGCGTAAGTCAGGGTTTCACGGGGTTTCACGAGGGAAGCCACGACGAAAGTAAGTGCTTCTTCACCGACATGCCCTGTGAATTGGATTTTTCATGTGTTTCTGTAGGATTTTGTTCTCTTGTTCCCTTTTTTTTTCCAAGCGTGGACAGACTTTTCTTCTCTGTAAATAACTTTTCCTTTACACAAACAAGCTCACGTGAGGACACACACACACACACACACACACACACACACACACACACACACACACACACACACACACACACACACACACACACACACACACACGCACACCTGTACACATATGTATCTTTTTCAAATTACACCGTACATATTTTCTAGACAAACATATGCTGGGAATTAATGTCTTTCATAAAACACATACAAACATAACAGTAACACAATTTACTCTCATGTAACAATTCACTATGTCGTCCCGCACAATTATATTTCCGGTTCACAAATATAAATTCCCCTGATGGATGTTTCATATTTCTTAAGATTATGGGCTTACATGACACATTGTCTCGCAGTGCAATTCGTACAAGGGAACAGAGTGTGTTATTTTGTAATTACTTCGTGTTAATTAGAAGGCAGATGTCATTTTCTACTTAATTTAAGCGACAGATAATTTTAGTGGATGTGAGACAGTCCTTCCAGCCAGGTAAGGAAGCAAACTCTTGGTAAAAGGTAAATGAGACAACGAAGGGAAGAACAAGAAAACACACGAATATAACGAAGCTCATTTCGCTTATTTCGGCTTATTAGTTTATTTTCCTGTTCTTCCCTTCGTCATTGTGTTTACAGTTCGTTCAACGTGAATCTCGCATCAGTAGATGTACTGTGTCTGGAGATGTGGTTCTAAACCGTTTTCGAAGCACCGAACCCAAACGAACCCCTAAAACATGAGAGAAGAAATACCTTTCAATGCACAGCAAAATTAATCATAAATGTCTAAAGAATCATAAATGTCTAAATAATCATAATATATAGCAAGCGCACACAAAATAATAATGATAAAAACACAGACTCAAAGCAATTGCCAACGAAACTAAATGCTAAAAGTTTTCTTTATTTACGCGAACCCTTGGTGTAAGATCGAATCCAGGTTGAGGACCACTGATCTAGAACAAACGCGAATGAAGTATACAGTTATAATAGAAATTGTGCGAGTCTGTCACCACCAATCAACGGTGAGTACTGATGAATAAGTTTTACTATTTCAAAAAATATATTTTCCAAACAGTCCCTCCTGTATTTGAAAGAAAGTGAGAAGTGTTTCATATCGAGGGCATTTTGACTCATAAGATGTTTCGAAAACCTTCCCCTGGTTTGACTGCGGCAGCGCGGGTCGCTCTGAATAGGCTAACGTCCCCGAGAATTAAAAATCGTTCTCTATAAATTTAGATTCTCTGTCACGTACGAAGGCCTATGATTCTATTCCAGTTTAATATCAAAATTAACTTTATGGTAACTTTTTGTGATTTAATCAGACTATCAGTTACTCATCCAGTCAAACGTTAACCAGCAATAATAAACATATAACAGTGACTTTTTGTGAATGAACGTTATCTACGGTAAATACAGTGAAAAAAGTTTAATATAACCTTCAGTTACGCAATCACACGTTAACCACCAGACCTATTATTGTAACATTTTTTTTTATGAATGAACGTAAAAAAAAACGAAAACAAAAATAAGTTATCTCACCCAATCAGTCATTTT